CCCTACTGTCTGTCTGTCTGTCTGTCTCTGTCTGTCTGTCTGTCTGTCTCTGTCTGTCTGTCTGTCTGACTAACTCTGTCTGTCTGTCTGTCTGTCTGTTACGCTTTCACGCCTTAACCACTGAACTGATTTTGATGAAATTTGGTACAGAGATAGAGTTGCCCTTAAGCAAAAACATAGGATAGTACATATTTATCTCAGACTTTCGAAAGGTTCTCTTGGAAACGCGATATAACCGATCTCCACGCAAGCGATGCTGCGGACGGAAAGCTAGTATTAAATATAAATAAAAAACCTAAACAAAACATTGGAACTGAAACAAATCTAAGTAAGATTTTCACAGCCCATAATAGTAAGTATAAAAATGTATGGAGATAGCCACCTTTATATTTTATCTTAAGAGGACAATATGTCCAACGATGTTCTAATAAAAGTACAATCATCTATTAAACATTGACAGGAAATCTTTAATGACCCACTTCCTGTCCGACGGGAACAAATGCCATAAAACAATGGGGCGTTGACAAACGACCCCGGGCCACCGCAAACTTGACGTCTATTCGACCTAATTACTTCATCATAACAATATAAATATACATAATAAACTGTCAGAAAATATACTTTTTATATTTGGGTAATATTATTTGAGAACATTTATATTTCAGTACACACCAGTCCTATCGTATCGTTAATGAAGAACAAAAGTATACTTTTTTGCATTAAAAAAAAATATATATATTCATATTTAAAAACTGTAATTAAGAGCCTGATGCCTTTAGCCAAAAAGATTTCGAAAGGGGCTAAGAAAATACTTTTGAAAGAACCATATATTCTGTTTCAAAATATTTAGTTATTGTATTATGAAAAGTCAAAGAATATGAGATTGTAAGTCTTAATGAGTACTCCTTCAATAATCGCGTAGTCTGTAAGCAGCCAAGTACGGACCCATACAAATTAGCCGACCATTACCAAGTTGATGGTCATTTTGCTGTCATTTCTACATTTCTTTAACAACAGTATCATTACCTTCATGTTCTTTCTCATAATTGTTTGAAATTACAACTACCACTTATAATTAAATACTACTTTTATTTATTACATATATGAATTCAAAGACTAGACTAATTGAAGTAATCAAATCAAATAAGTGTATTTAATTTTAGGATCATTAGGGAATATTATATATAATAATTTTATACTACCTCTCGCTCTTTCTATCTCTCTCACACACGCACACAGACACACATATACATTATACACCCTTACCTACACACAAACACACGCACAGAAACAAGATAAGATGATTGTGATTGACAGAGCCGTCCACAACTTTATATAAAAACGGAAAAGGTTGCAAAGCTCAAGTGTCATGAGGGTTGTACACTCCAATACATAATCCAATTCTAAATTTAGAGTACAACCGGCATGCAAATTACATACTTGACCTCTTTCGTATATCTCCTTGGGTACACAACATTGTAAAATAAAGAAATAATGAAAATTTTATAAATATACCTAAATAAACCCACGCATTAATTGTAAGGCAACAATTATATTGGCATGCGCGATTCACGTAATCGTGAAATTATACACCATAATTGTCTTATATCATTTTGGATAAGCGGATACTGTTACAGAGCTAAACCGATTTTAACCAAACATAGCTAAGAACCACCGCAATGAAACTGGCTTTCAAATGAAAACAACTCCATAGAAATCGGTCGAAGGATTTGAGAGCTGCGATGCCACAAACAGATATGTATACACACATACAAACGGCCACATACACACACACTCACACATATAGACATCGAAGTCAAACTTATAACACCCCGCTTTTTGCGTCGGAATTTAAAACTGCAATTTGAAAATGCTTGGCTCTAACTTAAACTTTTGCTAAGAAGTTTGACTTATCTTAAGGTTCTTTCATGAAAATTTATTATGGAAATATAGTTAAGAAATATGTATATCCTAACGAATAATTGAATGAAGAAAAACATGTGACCGTTCTGGGGTCTGTGGAGTGTAATAATTTAGATAAAAATGAAGGTCAACATCTCAACTCTACCGTATGCGTATCTCAAAAAGCATATTCGTGAGCCCCAAATAATGACAGTACGGACAGCAAATAAAAAAATGTTCTATTTGTATAGGAATAAGCAAAATCAAGGGCGATATTCGTTAATATATTTTTTATACTTATGTAATATGTAACTGTAAGCTTACCCCAAGCTTTAACAATTATTCATTAATTAAATTTCACATATTATTCTATTAATATCGATTCACAAATATGAAAAACAAAACCGCTTCTTCTGTAGTATGGTGATGCATAAAACCCTGGTCGTATGAGTGACTTTTTAATATATGTTCTACATATTATTTTAAATACTTGTTTCGCTGTCCACTATACAAGAATAATAGAATAATTTAAAAAGTCGTCTGGTAACTTCTTATTTTGATGTTAATAATAATATTGAATTACATTCAGATCGAATGAATGAATGAATGAATGAAAATGAATCAGCGGACGGAGACGAGATAACCGGAGGCGTCGGAACATCGAGCGCGGTTTTCTGTTTAAAAACTCCTAAGTTATTTTGTGTAAATTCTTCCAATTCAAGTATTGGATTTGAAGAAAAACTTGGCAAATTTAATTATTCCCGTTCGACAGATTCGAATTTATATCTTGGAATTTTTCGCTGATTATTTTCCGCCGCACGAATTTTCCCACCGGATTGTTTTGAATTTTCTTTGTGAGCAATTTCATCCTCTCTGTTAAGACAAGTTTAATCTGAAACGTGGACTATTATTACTTTATTTTCGTCTTTTTTTTTCAGCCTTAACGAGCTCTTTGATGTACTCAACCTTTCGTTAAAATACTAAAGTAAATGGAATGTTTTTTAAATAAATTGTTTGAAACGGACCTTCGAAATAAATTCTTTTATTAAAAAGTTTAATATTTAATCCTTTGACTTTAGTAACGACGTGAAATTTTCTAATTTCACTTTCATCTGGTACCATTGTGAAATTATTATGAATGTTTAAATATTAATAATATTAATTTGCTGTCGGTACATTGAGTATTAACTCAGTAATAGTGCAGGACGTTTGGCCACATGCCTAATACAGCCTGCGTGCTATCTGCACTGGATAGCCTCCAGTAAAATATATGTATATATAATATTTTTAACATGTAATTGGGAATACATATATTATTACAATAATAATATTTAATATTAACAGAACTTTATTATGTGAGTTTTAAGAATACTTTACTTTAATGTAATTTATATGTTTATTTTGTTTGAAAGTTAAAGTATTGTTGGCCGAAACTTCAAATTCTCCTCCAACGGATTAACTTACTCTTGTTGAGTATATTTTATCAGCAATAATAAACTCTTAATTAAAATTTGTATTTGTTATCGTGTAATAATCTTTTGAGTATTCTTTAGTTCCGCTAACTATGAGGATGGGTTAATTTTCGAGATCTTGCATCTTCAGATTGATTTGAAGGCTGGTTAGATACATAGGGAGATAAAAATCTTGTACGGTACTTAACCCACAAAGAAGATATAATCGATTGAAGGATTAAAATAGGCTGAGTGAGATCGTATGTTACAATAGAATATATACTTATACATATTCTTTATGTAGGCTTTCTCATATATTTATATCTTATCAATTCTATTATTATTTTACTTAGAAACATTTCAAATATGATATTTATAGTAGTTAGGAAAATTTAAATCGTATTGACATCTTACATATGTACATTCATAGATAAATAAATATAATCACTTAAACACAATCGTATTCATGAAATATAAAAATATCCATAGATATACATATATTAGAGAAGACAAATGAAATATCAAAAGTTAACAAAATCAGCTGGAACAGAGCGGTCATTGAAAAAAAAATCCAAGCCGCGTTCATAAAGTGCCATTTCACATATGGAAGTGAAATTTTTCGGTAAACTTTAATACCCAGGTTTATACGTTGGAGTGAACATCTCCGTCGAGATTTGCACTCTTTATTTGAAAGCTTGCACTTCATGGGTACGTAATACCGACGGGGACCAACATATGTTAAAAATTTAGGATACCCAACGGTTTCATAGACACATATAAATCGTATACATTTTACAGGATTGTTATCATTTTGATTTTAGTAATATAAAAATTAAAATATATTTTTTATATTCAATATAAAAAAGGAATATTTTTATGATTCGTGTTTTTAAAAAATATCAATTATATTATTTTAATTTCCTTTTTCCGTCGAAATCATGGACACTCTATATGTAAAAGTATTTTCGGGTCAAATTGCAAGTTGCTGACGGCACAGCAAACAGCAGTCGGCGCTATTAGTTTTATCCTATTCCAGAAATCCCAACAAATTCTTGAACATTTTTCGACAAATTCGTATTGACTCAATCCGGGACTCATTATTCCATCTTTCAAGGTTTAAAAAGTTATTAAAACTTTCTTTTCTCACTTCCGAAGTAACGTGGATGTGCGAACTTTAAAAGGCTTTTCTCATTTTGCTAGCAATTTATATATTTGAAAGGTTTCCTTGTAAGATAATATCAATTAATAGAAGACTTTCTACATGATTTAACTGTTTATTTGTCAACACTCGTAAGCCTGTAATAATAGGTAATTTAATTTAACATCCATGTATAAGAATATAATTTTATAGCCGCGGGACAAACCGACCAAATGTAACAATAATATGTAAATAAATGGAATGGCAAATACGATAATTTTATATCGAATTATAAAATAAAACATGAGGCAATACGCAATCATGTATTCCTACAACCATATAGTGTGATATCGATTCGAAACGCTGAGATTACTTTAACGGCGATTTTTCATATAACATCAAACCACCGCAACGAATTAGTGATAACGGACATTTGCAAATGACAGCCGCAAAAAGGGGAAAAATATAAATGAAACGCATTCATTCATAAACTGATTTGATCGTGAGAAATGTGTGTATGGAGAACTACAAGTGTTATTATAATCGCTATGTTAGTGGCCGTATCAGCGATCGGTGAAAGGGCATTGAGGGCTTGTAAGAGCTACGGCCAATCTATGCTCGAATGTCGCAACGTGCTCCACCCGGCTTCGAAAGTGAGGGTGCCAATTGATTTACTTCTCTATCCTCATATGGTTTTGATCGGATTTCGTATGAAAGCCAACGATCCTCCGGCTTGGAAATGTGGTGGATCTTTAATCAGTGAAGAATGGGTACTGACTGCAGCGCATTGTATTGAAGATCCAATGGAAGGACCGGCTAGTGTGTTACGCATAGGAACAGCAACATTTGAATTCGATGAAGTCGATGGGCTCGCCCAAGAAAGAGACATAGCTCAAGTAGTACCACATCCTAAGTATAAACCACCATCCAAATATCATGACATCGCACTAATAAGAAGTAAAACGAAATTCATTCTAAGCAGGCATATAAGGATTGCCTGTTTAAATTTAGACCACGACATTAGGAATGTCAAATTAACAGCTATTGGATTCGGTACAACAGCTTCAGGTCTGTCACATGGAAGTCAAACCCTAATGAAAGTTGACGTTGATATCATAGATAGTAAAATTTGCAATCGTTCTATGAAATTTTTGGTCAAGAGAAAGATTTTGGAACACGGTATAACTGACTCTCAACTCTGCGCCGGAGATTATGAACATGGGGGCAAGGATACTTGCCAGGGTGATTCTGGAGGACCCTTGCAGGTTATGGAAGAAAGGGTGGATTGCATTAAAACTTTTCCTTTGCACAAAATAGTGGGCATAACATCGTTTGGCAGGGACTGTGGTAGGAAGATGTCTCCGGGAGTGTATACTAGGACCTCTAAATATATAGACTGGATAGAAAACGTTGTCTGGCCGTATAGTTACAAAACGTAACTACTATTAAAATATATTAGTCTATTTTATTATTATTCAACTGTAATTACGGAATATCTTTTTTCGTAATTGTATATGAAGAATGTGTTCACCATTGGCAGCTTGACGTTATTTCTTATCTAGATTACATTAAAAATTATTATTTATAATTTATAATTCATTATGCATTATTACTGATTTCTTTTCTCAGTGATAAGTTAGGAATTTATTTAGAAATAAGTATATAATTACCAATAAAAAATACTGGTTAACCCATATAAATATATTAAGGTTTTATAACCGTTATAGAATTATCTATAAATATTAATAATATCTGTCTGAATTCCACGAACAATCTTAATAACAGAATGGCAGGTTGTTCTTAAAATATAGCTCACTGAAGAATAACAACTCTCACCTAAAACAGAAGCGAAGCTACTATGAAAAACGTCAGGGTTGAAACCACAAGGGATGATACAGAATGAAAAAAATACAAGGAAATGTTACATTTGGGACCTGACGAGAACTGAATCGAGACTGTTCACAGAGAAATATCGTTTGAGATATGCTGCTGTTATTTCTTGGACATTTTTTCATGTACGTAAAAAATATGCCATACATATAACATATGACTTACTTAAATAAACATACACTTATATGTATAACAAGAATTATTAATTATTTTCTGTACATAATAATGAATTATAAAAGTCTTTTATAATTCAAATTAACTTCCGTAATGACAGTGAAATATTATTCATAAAAAACTGAGGCAATTCGCTGATGTAACGGTGAAAAATAGACAATTAAAGTTAGACGAAGTTTGGAAGTCATCTTATTACAAGAAACACAATTTATAACTTACACAGGTAATACGTAATTTTCATTTAAACTTGAGTCGTTCCGTTTGAATACAACCGAAGTTAAAAAACTGTACATTTAAAATAAAATTAGTCCTATTTATATAAATTGATGTAATTCTCGTGTTTTCAATTTGGAATTGAAAATTATCGAAACATTTTTTTTTCCATTTTAATAACACTGTTTAATTGAAATCAAAGAAAGAAAAACATGAGATAATTTATATTTAACGTTGTTCTCATATATATTTGATAAAAAAAAAAACGAAATAATACACTAGAAATATTTTATTAGAACAACAAATCAAAACACATTTGAATTTAAATTGATACAATACAAGCGATGAAAACAGTGTTGCAGTTACGTATATATTTTAATGATAAAAGCCATACGGATCCAATTATAACTTTCCTTATTATAATACAAGTCATACATAAAAACAACGAGCATCCCACAGACGAAACTCAGTCAGAGCTAACTTAACTTAGGTATGAAACAGCTAACTTTCCGTACTGAAACTGTATCATATCTTGACTTCAATAAAAAGGCCGCGTGTTATATCCTGTTGGGAGCTCCATAGAAGATGCTCTAGTTATATAACTTACAATTCTCAAATCAAATTTCAAACTCTCAAACAGTATACAAATATTAGGTTAACATCACATGAAGTCAATTCATATAATATAATACTGTTATGTTATTAGAATATTTTATTAATAAAAACATATTATAATGTACTTTTTTCTTTATAATCTATGTTATTAATCTCATCCTCAGTATAAATAAATTTAACTAAAACTGTTTTCCTCTAAGTTGCCGTCGGAAGTCGTTTCTCTATTAAAGCAGCTTTTGTACCACAAATACCTTTACGGAGCTTCACTTCAACGCAATTTTTCTAATAACAATTCCTTTGATGTCAGAGCGTGATGGCCGACATTATAATAACTTGTCATTTAGCTAGTTAAGTAAATTTATACTTCATATACATTCACTTATATAAAATACTTTGATATTTTTGTTTATAAAATTTCACAATTTCATATAACACTTATAGAAATATTCCAAATATTTTCACTCATTTACGAGTCGTGATATATCTGATGCAATAAAATTAAGACCTTAATGTGTTACGATAAACTACATTTTGGTATATCGCATTCAGCTTTATTAACTTCGAATATCGGAAGCTTTACCCCAAATATTTTTACGCGCGAACGTCACGCTCCCGATCGGATTCTGGACGAATTTCTAAGATCGTTAATGAAATAACTCGGTTTAATCGCCCGACCATTGTCCGTGATCCCCAAAACTTATGGGCACCATACTTTATATTAAATTTTCACATTGATCTGTCGTTTAGCTTTGATAAACAAAAATAAAGATTTAAAACCATTTATTATGATATCAGCAGTATACATATATACATACAAAATTTTTCCATATATACGCCTCTCGTATTAGGTGGAGATGAAAACTGTCACATTGTATAAATCCGGACCAATAGACAAGTAACTCTCGTTCCAGTAGCACACGATCCAACCAACCATGAACACATAACCTTGACATCTATATAAATGAGATTTCATTTGTAATCTGCGGGTTATTTAAAAGTGTCTGAATCAAACTTTTTCAATCACCGAGCCGCCCAGGGACACTTATCTACCACCGATGAAAGAGGGTTTAAGCCGCCTTTATCGACGCCGCCATTCAATAGATTTCATATTAAAAAGTCAATTTAACTTCACCGCTAGCATTGATGATTCAGAATTTTAATATATAGCTATATATTAATATCGAATATAATATTCTAAGGCGAAACGCATGAAAATGAAGATATCGTACCCAATAAATAAATAGTAAAAACGAGACTGAATAATGAAGATTTTTTCTCTTCCTGATACTGAAGAGTAATCAAAAAGGTCTACTCTTAATACATAAAATATAAAATAAATTTCAATACATGTGTATATATAATAAGTGTGTCTAAGTGAGTAACAGTGGTATATGACTTCTTATCGTGTCACGGCGTTTTAACCTTGGATTAAGATGGCTTTATGCATATTCAGTATCTATATGAAATTCTGATGTGTATGAAATGCAGATGCACATTGTGAATTCACTTCTGTTCTGTGATGCTGCCGATTCTTACCGAAAGATTATTCACAGACATAAATATATATACTAGCTTTACTTATTTTATGTACATTAAAAAGATATTTCAAATTTTGTATGAAAGTTAATTGGATATAAATAAATAGATTAATTTGATACAGCCATCTAATAAAGCTTTATTATCCGTATGGTTAAATACGATAATCTTCTTAATTAATTAACATTACCAATACATTATCTACGATCCTTCAGACGTTAGAATAATGGAGTGGCTGTTTATTTTGCATTTTAATACATAACAATACGTTACTGGGAACTCAAGTTGAATTACAATATCAATTATGATAACAATGGTAAGTGAGAATCAACAGAGGGCGCTAGTGTAGCTGTCAAAAGATCAACAATCTTGAAACAACGGAAATATGCTAATGTGTCCAAATACTAAGATCAGAGATAGATCTCTTGATAAACATCAAGACGTAGACAATTCATCTTCACTAAACAGGTAATTGATTAATACTGGGTCTAAACTATAGGTAGAGTAACTACATATTTTGCTTGACTTGACTTTTATGTCAAATTCTCAACTTTTTGCCTTTAATTTTATCATCATCCTTTGATTTTAATTAGCAATATCTATGAGCACTGAGACTTAACATTGACTGATTCTTATTAATAAAAAAACATAAGAGAAGTCTGGTTATATATGTTATAGCTTCCACAAGGATTGTATAGACTATAGAAAATTTGTTTGGTTTCCATGAATAGTAAAGAAAGAAAAATAATTGTTTTATGTTATTTAAAGGAATGAAGCCGCTCAAACATAAATATTCTCCCAATAGTGATATTTCCTATAAAAAGGCGTAATATTTTATTAAAAATTTCAACAGCATATAAATCAGAAATACGTGCAAAAATAAATTCCAAGCGCTATTATTACCAGACGAGAGGCGATTTTCTTCTACTGAATCAGTATTTATTAACGAAATTGACCTTAATACGTTGGCCAATTTTAATGTTCGTTTAATACAAATGAATAAAATTCATTTCCATATAACTTATTGGCGTTGAACGTGTAAAAGTTTTCATTGGTCAAGCTGAATAGTGATGTACCATTAATTTCGACACATGCTTGTATTCAAATATATGTATGTATCTCATATCGATAAATACTAAATTCCGGGCCATGTCTATCTCTGGAATTACTGGACACGAACATATAAATCCCGATCACTCTGTAGGGTTGTCACTTATTTTTATGTTATTCAACAATTTGTTCGCGGGTTTTATCGGATTTACGTTGTCATGTCAATGTCGACTGTACTTATGGTGTTATTCAATTTATTTCATAACATTGGCTTTGTAAATGTGTGTAATTAAATAATTGTGATCTTTTTAACCGTCACACTTATTAGCAGTATCATTAATATTAATTAATTAATCGTAATCCGAACTATAAAATTCTATAGATCCACAGAACTGACCGATAATGAGTGACGTTTTAACGAATATAATTTAGTAAATAATATTTATATTTCATTAATAACTAAATGATCGCCAACCCTAACCAAACATACAAACGTAATAGGCGAATAACAGGCGGCTTAATTCAATCGATTCACTTTTAATATTTAACTTCAATTATCAGCACAATTAACGGTTGTTAAAATGCTGACGTGAAATGCAATTTTAATATATTAAATATATTTGTTTATTGAATGAAAAAATAAAAGTTACAATTATTTTTTATTAAGTAATAGTTTGCAACCAATGTACTTATTTCGAGTCTAAATAAGAATCTTTTTACAATAAATTTCTTACAATCGATATTTAATTACAATGAGTGTTTCATATTTGTATTAAATCCTTTATCTCTTATAATAATGAGATGTATATTTTTCATTTGTTAACAGGTAAGTTACCCCGCAATCAATTAAAACAAGGCTTAATTCCATATTACGTGGGCGATGCAATTCAATTTAAAATCAATGGAAACAAAACTCTTTACACTTGAGGACGTTAAATTTATATATCTAGATTTATATTTA